CAGGGGCCTAATCAGATGTTTATAAAGGTTCAACAAAACCATCCTTTTGTTCTCAATGCCTCTATTGACAAAAACCAAGATCTTGTACTATCTGCTTTGCTAATTACTTTCTCAATGAAACTGTAACCTTCAAAGACCAATGTAAACAAACCCACACTGTGCTCTGTTCCTGCACACTCCTAAGAATGGTGCGATTGAATCTAGTTGCCCCTCCTTATCCTTTCTACCAAAAAGCATCTCACTTTTCTGTATTCAATTTTATCTGCCACACTTGTCTGCTAATTCTGCTAATTGTTGCTGGTGACAGCATAGTCTATGACTGCCCCATTCATCCAGCCAAAACGCATGGTGTCACATTTGTCTGTGTTGAACTTCAACCACCAATTATTCACACATTAGGACATAAACTTACATCATTTGCTGCAGTCATCTCCAGTATGACTATTTCCCTCCATAATTTGGTTCCATTTGCAAATTTAGAAATTGTGCTTCCAATTCCAAAGTCAAATCTCTAACATAAATTGTAAACAGCAGTGTCCCCAACACTGATCCTTGATCATAAAGTATGAAGAGATTTTATGAGAAGTTTCATTAAGAATTACACGAGACACATTCATTTTTTTAAAATGATATTATGCAAAAACATAATGTTGATTACAACACACTACCTATGGGGACTACACAGTACATGGAACAAGACTGCTCACTGTCATCTCAGAAAATCTAATGTGCCCTCTGGAAGACTTCAGACACTGCACATTTCTAGATCTATAAGTGACTGACATTCTGTGATTAGTGTGACTGTCAATACAGATACCTTCCTCTTTGTACTGGGACCTACACCTGGGCTGTGAACCGCAGGGTCACTTTCAGTTGCCTGGTTCCTCCAGAAACACTCACTGATTCATTCACATTGTTCTAGCACTCAGGATTCAGGTTGAAGCAAGCATCTCTCAGAGAGTGGTCACAATTGGCTGTCTTTTTCAGAAGCATCATGGAATAGCAAACATGAAGGTCTTAGTTCAGATCAGGTTAAAATCTAGCAGGGGCTCCAATTTCCTGTATAATCTGTGGAGATTTTATGCATCCTTTCAAACCCTGGGGTTCACAGAGATCTCAAGATCAATGTCATTGGCGGGGGGTGAGGAGGGTGGGAGATTGGGGCAAGAATGCTACCAATGACCCCGGGATCAATTTCAGGGACGGTTGTGGAGGACACCAGTAACCCCTAGTTCTAGCCTTTGGATTATTGAGGTTAGCTAAGATTGTAAGGTGGACTTTGAAACAATGAGCTGCGTTTCTATCCATCTCTATAAGTACAGTGCAATTTCCCTAATCACAAACTCCGCTGTTGCTGAGGATAGAGACAGATAAATGTAACAAGACAGCAAAATATTAATTTGCCAAAATCCTTGCATGCAGATGAGTCTCCAGCAATCTCCATCTGGTCTATCTGGTCTGACATGTGTGGGGAATTCACACGTGACATGTTCTTTGGTCTGTCAACATCTCCTTGATCCTGTGGTATTCCTACACCTCCAGTGAGCAGGAATTGGACGGCAGACTCCAGACAGGTGTAACAATTACGCTGAATTATAGACATGTTGTAGTGGTCCAAGTGCAACTGTGTATGCCCAGTCCATCCCCTCACTGTAAATTCATGAAGAATTTCCTCCTCTTTCCTTTCAGAAGAAGGGACAATTTGTATCTTTACAATACACTGGATAGCTAATACACACACACTCCAATCCAGCATCAATCACACCACACAAAATACCTCCAGCATCAGAGGTAGAATTCATTCAACTCTTTGCAATACAGCCAGATGTTTATTTCTGTGGGGACTTTTGAAACTCCAGTCAGTGCAGAGTTACATGGCCTGGTAACCGCTGATGATCAGAAAAAGCTCTTATGGACAATAGTAATAGACAGTATCTCAGTATCCTTTGGTCTGATCTTGGTTTGGAATTTCTTCTGTTCCCATGCTAGGCTGATCTGGAGGTGCTATCTGGTCAAAGCAGTGAGTTTTGATTGTTTTAAGGTAATGGCCCTTTCATTTGTGGATGAGATGCTGGTATTTCAGGGAGCACAATGTGTGTCAGGGTTAACATTGGCAGAGAAGACCTGGGTCCAAATATTGTTCGATCTCTTCGAATCCAGTCAGTGCAAGCTGAGGACTCCACACAGTTTCCAGATTTAAACTCCCAAAGTCCAGAATTATCAGGGAACTTGACACCAAATCCTAGAACACAAATGTACATGTTAGGCTAAACCAGCTTCAGGATCTCGGTACCAAGAATGACTCCTTTCATCAATGGGTTAATTATTTTTCAGGATGAATTTACATAAAATTTACAGCACAGAAATAGGCCATTCAACCCAAATCAATCCATGCTGGTCCAGAAGTGAGTTCCACATTCTACCTACTGAGAAAAGAGAATTTTCTACTGGAATTATTAGCTTTAATCTCATATTCATCACCCCAAGTTGTAGAACCCTTTACAAATCTTCTCTGTATATACAGTGCCATACCCCTTCAAAGACTCCATCAGGTAACCTAGGAATGTTCACCACATACCCAGACAGTTCAGCCCAGACGTGAATCTCTCTGAATGAAAAGATTTTCTCCCATCACATTTGCAAATCACTTTATATCCGGGTAAAAACCAAAAGGAACTGCAGATGCTGTAAATCAGTAACAAAAACAGAAGTTGCTGGAAAAGCTCAGCAGGTCTGGCAGCATCTGTAAAGAGAAAATTAGAGTTAACGTTTTGGGTCCGGTGACCCTTCCTCAGTTCTGACCCAACTGTTAACTCTGACTTTCTCTTCACAGATGCTGCCAGACCTGCTGAGCTTTTCCAGCAACTTCTGTTTTTGTATTTTATATTTGGGCCCTCCCATTCTCGATTGAGCAGGAACAGTTTGTCCCTATCCACTGACCAGACCCATCACGATTTTGAAAATGTCTTCTTAGTTTTCTCTCTCCAAGTTGAACAGTGCCAACGTCATTGATCTATCTTCATAACTGAAGTCTCTCATCCCTGGAACTATCCTTGTAAACCTCTTCTGTGCTCTCTCTCCAATGTATTCACCTCCTTCCTCAATACTTGAACAGAGGTCTAACAGACATCTAGAATAAGTTCAGCATCAGCTCCTTGCTCTTGTATTATATGCCCCTATTAATAAAGCTTAGGACACCGTATGCTTTATTAACAGCTCTGTCCTATCATCTTCAGCAATCTACACAGAAATACACTCAGATCCCTCTGTTTCTGCACTCCCTGTTTAAAATTAGCTGTCCATGTTCTTCTTCACCCTTCTCTGCATTGAGCTTCACCTGCCACCAATACACCACTCCATCAACTAGAATTATAGAATCCCTACAGTGCAGAAAGAGGCCATTCGACCCATAGAGTCTTCACTAACCCTCCAAAAAGCATCCTGCTCAGACCAAGCTCCCCCTACCCTATTCCCATAACCCTGCATTTATAGTAGCTAATCAACCTCACCTACACTTCCCTAGACACTATGGAGCAATTTAGCATGGCCAATCCACCTAACCTGCACATCTTTGTGACTGTGGGAGGAAACCGGAGCACCCCAAGGGAACCCACGCAGACACCAGGAGAATTTGTAAACTCCAGACAGACAGCAACCAAGGCTGGAATCGAACCGGATCCCTGGCTTTGTGAGGTTGCAGTGTTAACCTCTGAGCCACTATGCCAACCTTTGTCTATGTTCTCCAACAATTTGTCTATCTTTTGAATCTTTTGAAGTTCTACTCTGTCCTTGCATCATCATGCTTTCAAGTTTTGTATCATCTTCAAATGCTGAAAATGATCCCTGAACACCAAGATCAAGATCATTAATATACATCAGGAAAAGCAAGAGTCTCAACGTCAATCTCAAGGTGAATTCTACTACAAACCTTTCTCCAGCCCAAAATATATAGTGAGCTTGACAGTTTCCATCGCTCAGCCGATTTTGTATCCTCGTTGCTACTGTTCCTTTTACTCCATGAGCTTTCAGCTTTCTCCCAAGTCTGTTGTGTAGCAGTTTTACAGCATGGAAAGAGGCCCTTTGGCCATCAAGTCCATGCCAGTCATCAAGTGTTTATACACTGTAATCCTATTTTCCAGCACTTGGCCTGTACCTTTGTATGCTGTAGCATTTCAAGTGTTCAAGTAAATACTTACATGCCGTGATAATTCCAGCTTCCAGGCAGAAGGTTCCAGATATCCATCATCCACAGTAAAAAAAAAAAACCTCACATCCCCTCTAAACCACCTGCCATTACCTTAAATCTGTGACACCTGGTTATTGAACTCTCAACTAAGGGGCAAGGTTTCTTCCTATCTACCCAAACAATTCCCCTCAATTTGTACACCTTAATTACATCCCCTCTCAGCCTTCTATGCTTTAAGGAAAGCAACCTAGCCTGTCTTGTCTCTCTTCATAGCTTAATCACTCCAGCTCAGACAACATCCTGGTGAATCTCCTTTGCACACCTCATATCTTTTCTGTAGTGTGGTAACCAGAACTATTACACAGTACTCCAGCTGTGGACTAACAAAGGCTATACAGCTCTAACATAAACTGCTTGCAAAATACGAAAGAACTGTGGATACTGGAAACTCCTTTTATTCAATGTCTTGACTAATAAAGTCAGGTCATAGAGTCATACAGTTATACAGCACGGAAACTTCGGTACAAATTGTCCGCACCAACCATATATCCTAAACTAATCTAATCCCATTTGCCAGCATTTGGCCCATATTCCTCTAAACCCTTCCTATTCATGTACCCATTCAGATGTCTTTTAAATGTTGTAATTGTATCCACCTCCACCACCACCTCTGGCAGCTCATTCAATACACGCACTACCCTCTGCGTGAAAAAGCTACCCCTCAGGCCCCATTTAAATCTTTCCCATCTTACCTTAAACCTATGCCCTCTAGATTTGGAGTCTCCTACCCTGGGGAAAAAAAAACGACCTTGTCTATTCATCTTATCCATGCCCCTCATGATTTTATAAACCTCTATAAAAGGTCACTCCTCAGCCTCTAACACTCCAGGGAAAAAATCTCCAGTCTATTCAACATCTCCATACAGTTCAAACTCTCCAATCACAGCAACATCTTTGTAAATCTTTTCCCAACCCTTTGAAGTTTAACAACATCTTTCCTGCAGCAGGGAGACCAGAACTGAATACAGTATTTCATAGCTTTCTTAACCACCTACCCAGTTGCCTTAAGGATCTGTGGATACGACACAAAGATAGGTGGAGGGACAGGTGGTGTTGAGGAAGCGGATAGGCTGCAGAAGGACTTTGACATGCTAAGCGAGTGGTAAAGTGGCAAATGGAATACAATATGGCAAAGTGTGAGGTTGTGCATTTTGGTAGGAAGAATATAGATGTAGATTATTTTATAAATGGGGAAAAGCTTCAGAAATCTGAAGTGCAAAGGCGCTTGAGAGTCCAAGTTCAGGATTCTCTTAAGGTTAATATACAAGTTCAGACAGCAGTTAGGAAGGCAAATGCAATGTTGGCATTCATTTCAAGAGGGCTAGAATACAACAGCAGAGACGTACTGCTGAGGCTGTATAAGGCTCTGGTCAGGCCACATTTAGAATACTGCAAACAGTTTTGGACCATATAGTTAAGGAAGGATGTGCTGTAATTTGGAGGGTGCCTAGAATAATTTTACAAGAATGATCCTGGGAGTGAAGGGCTTGTCATATGAGGAGGGTTTGAGAACGTTGATGGATTTTAGAAGGATGAGAGAGGATCTGACTGAAACTTACAGGATTCTGACAGGCCTGGACAGAGTGGAGTTGGAGAAGATGTTTCCACTGGTAGGAGAGACCAGGACCAAAGGCACAGCCTCAGAGAAAAGAATTGACACTTTAGAACCGAGATGAGGAATTTCTTCAGCCAGAGGGTAGTTAATCTGTGGAACTCATTGCTGCAGAGGGCCTTGGATGCCAAGCCATTGAGTGGATTTAAGACAGATAGATAGGTTCATGTGGGAGCAAATTACTGCAGATGCTGGATACAGCAGGTCAGGCAGAATCCATGGAGAGACAGCAAGCTAACGTTTCAAGCCCAGTTGACTCTTCATCAGAGCCTATATATAGGTTCATGTTTAGTAAGGGGATCAAGGGTTACAGTCAGAAGGCAGGAGAATAGGGTTGCGAAACCTATCAGCCATCTTTGAATGGCGGAGGAGACTGGACTCAAAATGCTAACTCTGCTTTCTTTACACAGATGCTGCCAGACATGCTGCATTTCTCCAGCAATGTGTGTTTTGGTCCTGCAAACACACCAGGTTAAGGCTAAATAACAAATGCTACAAATTCTTCTTAGTGCAAGTTTAAGAAAAGCTTTGAATTTCATTAGTTATTTTTGATGGTCAATCTCTCTGCTTATACATTATTTTGTAACCACATTCTTGGCTTTGGATGGGATCCCTGGCTTCTGAACTGAAGCCAGTGTCTAAGAGTTTGTCTTTGCCCTGTGAACAAGAGGACAGTGCAATCTGCATGAAAGTACTTGCTGTTCTGTCACATCCAGGAGCAACAGGACAAAGAATGGTTAATGGGTTGTATGTGATATAAAGCTAGATGGAATATAGTTTGGAATGTGTTGTTCACTCCTGGCAGAGGTCAGACACAAGGCCTTCTGCAAGAGCTCAACTAATGTCATTTTATGAGTTTAAAATGTAGCAGCTTTGGAACATTAGTCTTTATTTCATATGGCTGAAATACAAAGGGTTGAAAGTTATGTTATGTAAAGCTCTAGTTAAGCCCCATTTAGATGATTGCATTCTTCATGGGCACTGCACCTCATGAAGCAAACTGACTTCAGAGACAAGATTAATGGGTGATCGCATGGGAATTTAAATTGAAGAAAAAGTTGATGGAGGGAATCTAATTTGCTTTGATAGCAAATCCAGAACAAGATGACAGACATTAACTTTACAGTAAGGCCTTGATGGAAATATCAGAACACATTTCTTCATACAAAGTGATTTAAAACCTGGAACTTTGCAGACCACATGAGGGAAAGCATGTTCAACTGAAGTTGACAATCAGCAGGTTCATTAGGAAGAAGCTTCTAATTAAGAATTCATGCTGTTTTTAAAAACTGAGCTTAATTGCAATATGACATCGTGTGTGCACGCCTAGGACAAAGGTAAACTTTCCCTCCTCCTTCCTCTGACCTGCCTGCCGCCTTTGACATGGTGACATCAGCCTGCAGCCCCTTGCCATTCTCCTCCAGTTGGGTGACACTGCTCTCACCTGGTCCATTCTCATTTATCTAATTAAAGCTGAAGAATCATCAGCAATGGCCTCATTTCTGCTCCTGTATCATTACCTCTGGCATCATCCAAAGATCTACCTTTGGGCCTTTCTGAATTTCTCATATGCATGCAGCCCCTTAGCAATATTGGTGATTAGATGTTCAGTAATAGCAGATGTTTGAATTGCCTATAAAAGTGACCAACACTATTTAATATCAAAGCGAGACCCAAACTTTGTAATCACGCAAATGTGTAATTTTATTTGAATATTGCAGAATATAAATTGTTCCTTAATAATAAAGAAACAACCTTATATTCGCACGCACTCACTCCTTTCCTGTGGGTCCTTTATTATTCACCATCATCACCCCTACTCTTCCGTCAAATCCCTCTTTCTACTTTCCAGGTCATGTTTCTACACTGGCAACCGAACATTTCGTACCACACAATTGCACAATTTTACCTTCTGTTATTTCCAGGCAGTTAGGTGTCGACAGGAAGCTGGGCTTCAATGTCCACTCGACAGATGGGACATTTCTTACTGGTGGCCAACCATTGGTCCACACAAATCTGGTGGAAGAGGTGCATGCATGGAAGGCGCCTGCAATAAAGAGTTAATAGTGTTATGGATGGCCTGGAATCTCGGTCATCAGTGTCTGTGATGCTACCGACACAATTCGCAATTTTAATTCTCCAGAGATAAATGGGGAGATTTTGATTGTAAAATTTGGGAAATTCTTCAAGCACAAATTCAATTCAGGGGAGAATTCTACATCTCAAAAAGCAAGCTTCAGTCTGACTTGTATTGAATTTGACACCAAAACAAACATTTCAGCACAAAAATGCTTGGAAGGATAAACAGAATAGTTGAATGTTAATGGAATACAGGCCAGTCTAACACTGGGAAATCCAAACAGAATATTCTAAAATGGGAAGAAATGACATCAGAAGAGGGATGAAGTCCACGAAACTACACAAAAGTGATGCATAAAACTGACCTAGTGCTAGTATCCTGGTCAATCTGATAGCCTAAGACAGCAGACAACGTGGAGGGGAAGTGTGAAAAAAGAATCAGGAAAGTAAAAATTCACAAGCATTAAGAGAAATGCCAAACCTGCAAAGCAGAGAAATGATTTGGTTAAAAATAAGCAGAATGGGTCAAGAAGGGACAGTCGAGTATCTAAGTTAACAGGAGCTCAGGGAGAAGTAGAAATAAGTTAAAGCTAATGGCACTGTACAGCAAATTGTGCTAAGCCTGTGCAAGATGATAAATAAATTAATAACACAGATATAAGCTTGATCTAACAGCTATCACATGGTTGCAGAAACAAGATAGCTAAGGTAGGCTGGGAAAACAGATTAAAAGATAGGACAATAGCATGGCAAACTTCCATGAATCACCGATGGAGTTTAAAAACAGGGAGGCTATGCTGCAGCTGTATAGAGTCCTGGTGAGGCCACACCTGGAGTACTGTGTGCAGTTTTGGTCTCCTTACTGGAGAAGAGATATACTAGCACTGGAGGGGGTGCAGAGGAGATTCACTCGGTTGATTCCAGAGTTGAGAGGGTTGGATTATGAGGAGAGACTGAGTAGACTGGTATTATACTCATTGGAATTCAGAAGAATGAGGGGAGATCTTATAGAAACGTATAAGATTATGAAGGGAATAGATAAGGTGGAGGCAGGGAGGTTGTTTCCGCTAGCAGGTGAAACTAGGACTAGAGGGCATCGCCTCAAAATAAAGGGAAGCAGATGTAGGACTGAGGTCAGGAGGAACTTCTTCTCCCAAAGGGTTGTGAACCTGTGGAATTCCCTGCCCAGTGAAGTGGTTGAAGCTACCTCGCTCAATGTTTTTAAGGCAAGGCTAGATAAATTTTTGAACAATAAAGGAATTAAGGGTTATGGTGAATGGGCAGGTAAGTGGAGCTGAGTCTCAAAAAGATCAGCCATGATCTTATTAAATGGCAGGGCAGGCTCGAGGGGCCAGATGGCCTACTCCTGCTCCTAGTTCTTATGTTCTTATGTTCAATGACAGCAGTGGGTAACATCAGCAAGAAGCACGATAATAACTCAGCAAGCTCCTTCAACTGTACCTTCCAAACCTGAACCTCTAGTATCATTAGGGACAAGGAAGCAGATACATGGGAACATGCCACCTACAAGTTCATCTCCAAGCCACTCACCATCCTGACTTGGAAATATATTGCTGTTCCTTCACTGTCACTAGATCAAAATGCAAGTTTACTGATAATACAAAGGCAGGTAGGACCCGTACAGAGTCAGGTTGCAAAAGGATAGAAATAGGTTAAATGAATGAGGAAGAACATGGCAGATATATAGAAAATTTGTATAAGCATGAAGTTATTTGCTTTGGAAGGGAAATCATAAAGCAGTTTTTTTTAAACAAAATAGTGAGAGAATGGGAAATACTAGTATTCAGATTGACTCGGATGTTTCCTTGTACGAAAAAGTTACCAAGTCAATATTCAGCAAGCAATTAGGAAAGCAAATGGCTCCTAACACAAAGGGATTGGAGTAAAAGAGCATTATAAAAAGGCTACTGGTGAGACCACATCTGGAGTATGTATACAGTTATGGTTTCCTCACCCCAGAGTGAGTGCCACAAAGGCTCACTCGACTTGCACGTATGAGGGGACTCTCCTACAAGGAGAAATTGAGTAGTCCAGGCCTTTATTCTCAGGAGCTTAGAAGACAGAGACAATGTCATTCAAATTCTTAAGGAGTTAGTTGTTAGATCCTGGGTGGATGTACTGACAACCTGGACTTCTGCTGAGGTTTCTCACCTGACATCTTCCCCTTCCTCTAAAGGTGACAGACATATTGTGCATTTCTCCTCCACCTCAGCCGCCTCCTTCCCTTCCTCACAGGTCTCCAGCGTCCTCTGCAATATCAAATTTGTTGAGTGAAATGTACAGGCTAAAGCAATATTAATCCCAACATTGCTGAATATAGAAAAGCTTCAAGACTATATCTTGAGATAGACAATTGGAAAAGAGACTGTAGTTACACAGTTCCAATTCACTAGCTTCAAATTAATGTTTCTTAAAACCCTAGACAGATGCACTGAGAAGATGATTGCTACGTGCAAAGGCTAGCTACAAAAAAAAACTCACCTTCTCATATTTGTGCAGGAAGGTGTACCTCTCAATGGTGCTTTGCGATGCTCCATGGTTTAAATCACTGAACTGATCCTCCAGGTGCAGCAGGTCCTCAAAATGAAAGAGGAGATAATGTCACAAAGCAACTCAAAGCTGCAGCATCCAGACAGTCGGTCTATTCGGACATTGTATATAACTACTCAGCCCTTTGAATCTTATCGTTGAAGTTACTACAATGATGAAGCAAGGCAACAAGAACTATTGATTCGGCATTTATTCCTTTGAATTAGGTGCAGAAACTGCCTAATTAATTCACATACTACCCAAGGCTCACTGGGTGTCACACTCGGCTGATTCAGAAAGACTGGAATTCAGAGAAATAAGCCTGTTGTCCAACTTTACACTGCAGAGCAAGTACTGGACTGCCAGAGGAGATAATACATTAGGCCAAACAGTCTTCTCAGCTAAAGGATCTCCGAATCTATTCAAGGAGCAGAGGAATAAAAATAAAGTTCTGGCCTTTATTGGTTTTCAATTAGAACAGATTATCTGGTCATTTATCCCACGGCTGTTTTTCATTAAAATGTAAAATAGTTACGCAGCACATTAGGTGACCTGCCGTGAACATATCTGTGGGATCTTGCTGTGCATAAATTGCCTGCCGTATGCCTTTTGTTACCACATTCCCTACATGTAAAAGGACTCCGTTTGGGACATACTGAGATTGTAAATGGCATTATGTAAACGTAAATTCTCTCTTTATCCACCCCTTTTTGTTTATTCTGCCTGAGTTCAATAAACCTATGAGCATCAGCCACAAAGTTGCAGAATTGGGATCAATGAAAAAACATTCCAAGTATGAAACAGTACAGAGATGTTCAGCACATATTTATAACTGTGAAGAGAGTGTAGTGAAGAAGGCATACCCAAGCTGGACACAATAATTCATCAATTCTTTGTTGCTTATACCACTTCATCTACATCAGTTTTGTTTGGTCTTGAAGTACGTAAAGATGTTGGTGCTGCTGGGATATGACTGTGAGACTTTCCAGAATCTAAGGATACTGGAAAGAAATTTTATCATTGCATTTTTTCTTAATTCATTCATGGAACGTGGGCGTCCAGAATCGTTTGGTTAAAATCCTGAAAGAGTTATTTGATCCTGAGAAAGTTTGAGCCGAGTTATATGAATGTTCCGGAAAGAAGCTACCACATTCTGATGACTTGGAGTTGAAGCCCTAGTAGGGGAATACAGAAGGGAATTCTTTCCAGTGTGAGTCCTATAAAGGGGTACTTTTTTGAATTAATTGGATTATATTTTTACCATGTATTTTGAAATCTTTATGTGTCATATGTAAATAGTTTATTTTATCTTCATTTGCTTTGCATAATAAACTAATATGTTTTATTGTTAAAACTAAATCTGCAACATTGCATGTGTTTGATCCAGTGAGAAAGCACCTTGTTCAGACCAGCAAAAAAAAACTAAAATATGATCTATCAAACTTGATTTCCGTCTGAGATCTGACTTGTCCAGTAATATCATCAACTGGGATAATAACAATAGCCACTTCCTTTAATATCCTGGGATGCAACCATATCAGGTCCAGGGGAACTATCGACCTTTAGCCCCATTAGTTTCTCTCATACTTTTTCTCAAGTGATACGTTATTATATTTATTTCTGCTCCTCTTCTGCCCTTGGTTGTTTAGTACCTTAAGAATGCTATTAATGTCTGCTAATATGAAGTCTAAACCAAAATATTTATTCAACTCCTTTGCCATTTCCTCATTCCCCATCATTATTCCTCCACATCCACCACCAACCACTTTACTTCATTCCAAAACAAAATGGTAGCAGAGGAAACAACATTCCCTTACTGGCACTAAATAATTCCAAAGCTTGTACAGCTGTAAAGTTCATGGGCACAGACACAGAAAGTGGTGTTGATCATCCACTAGTGTTAACACCTCCAGCCATCTCAACTTGTCAAACCACTGGAAACAAAAGCCAAGAGTGGGGTCAGCCATGTGCAATCCATCCTCACTGTAATAAACTCTTCCTTGCCAATACTGTCACACATGCCCTGCTGGATTCCAACATGCACTTCTTTCATATTCACTCACAGACACTCGCAGACAGGACACAGGAAAAGAAACAGGAATTCTTCTTAGCTCTTTGGAACGTACAAATTTGCCTGTATAAAATCAACACTTTCCAAACCCAGAGCTTCTTGGTATGGCTGGGAATGATTGCAATGCAATATTGCAACACAGAATTTAAAGCAAAAAACTCACCTCGCAGGGGAGAGCCAGTTAACAGAGCTATCCACAAGCCAAATTCCATAGAATCCCTAGTGTGGAAGCAGGCCATTCAGCCCATTGAGTGCACAGCGAACCTCCGAACAGCATTCCATCCAGACCGACCCCCTACCCTATCCCTGCATTTTCCACCCTATCCACCTAACCTGCACACCTTTGGACTGTGGGAGGAAACCGGAGCACCTGGAGGAAACCCATACAGACAGTTACCAGAGGCTGGAATCGAACCCGGATCCCTAGTGCTTTGAGACAACAGTGCTAACCACTGAGCCACCGTGCTGCCTCATAATACATTCTTCTGGTTTGACAAGCCAAAGAGAGACAGGTGAAAGTCAGATGTTAGTGTTGCTATCAAATCTGTTACTGGAACGTTTGAACACTCTCCCTGGGGATGTAAATAATCTCATGACTCTACACCTATTTCTTAAGAACATTGTGCAATAATCAGTGCTTATGCTCCAACCATGACTAGCCTGAGGATAGTGAGGACAAATTCTATGAGAACTTGTACATAACTATTGTAAACATGCCACAGGACAAGTTCATTATAATGGGGAACTTCACTGCAAAGGCAGGAGCAGACTATCAAGCCCATGGTGGGGGATGATGTTCTGGGGGTCAAAGTGTAGGGAAATACGACAGTAATGCAGACTTCTTTTGAGACTTCGCAACCACTGGATTACATCAATCAGCAGTAGCATCTTTAGACAGAGACAAAGTACAAACATGGATACACCCAGGATCTCAACTTTAGCATCAGATTGATTATTCATCACCCGCAGAGCAACATAAAAGATATCTGATCACTAGATTGATGAGAGGAGTGGAGTGCTCGGTAGACCACAGGCCACTGTACTCCAAGATGATATTTGTTATTTCATCAAAAAAGACAACCATGAAGTACGTACCAACAGTCCCCCACCCCAGACCCCACCCGCGTAAAGAGGCAGATGTGTGGAAACTGGCATCTGCTGAAAGCTGCACACAACTGAAGCTCAGACTTGAGAAAAAGTCAGTCAATCTCCAAAGAAAACTCAAGTGTTGATGATGAAATGCCATTGGTCAACCTTCAAATCAACAGCTCTGGAACTGGCTGATAGTGATATGGGAACACAAAAAAAAAATGACCAAGATCGGTTGAACGAAAATGATCATCACATTGAGGAACAGCTACAGGATGAAAAATGCTGCATGGTTGGGAAACAGACAAATCTGCTGCTGAGTGGTCACTTCAGATGAGCAAAAACAACTTGCAACAACAGCTGCAAAGGTGCAACGTGCACAGGCAAACAGACCACAGAACTTCAGGCTCACACAAGAGGAATTTCTATAAAGCTTTGAAGACTGTGTAAAGTCCTCCACTGGGGGATGATGCATGTCCACCACAGGCTGGCAGAAAAACTAACAGGAATGAACTACCGAGGGAGTGGTCACAAATAGTGGCACTGCTTTCTTCAAACAATCCAGACACTTGGCAAAATTTGTATTTCAAAACCAATTCAAACATGAGCAGCTTTATGGACTCTGCTAGAAAGAAAAACTTTGATGTTGTTGAAGTCTTTAACGAAAAAGTAACCAGAAATCCTGTATTTAAAGAAGTGCACTATTAGAAAATTAATATAATCTTACGTTTTATTGCGAGGGGAACTGAATGCAAGAGTAAGGAACTTACGCTTCAGTTAAACTGTTCTTGGAGGGTTGAATGTCTTTGGAATTCCCTTCTTCAAAAGGCAATGGATGCAGAATCTTTAAAATATTTTTAAGGTAGAGGTAGATAGATTCTTGATTACCAAGGGAAATGAAAGATTATTGGAGATATGTAGGAATGTAGAGTTTAGGCTAAAACCAGATCATATAGATCAGTTGGAGGCATGGGCAGAAAAATTGCAGATGGAGTTCAATCCAGACAAATATGAGGTGATGCATTTTGGAAGGTCAAGTAGAGGTAGAAATTATCAAGTGAACGGCAGAATCCTTAGGAGGAGTATTAATATGCAGAGATCCTCATCTCTTGGTTTAATGGGTCACCCCTTATTTTTAAACTATTATCCCTAGTTCTACATTATCCCAGCATCCATTCCGTTAAGTCCCCTCAGGATCTTTTATTTTTCAATTAAGTCACCTCTGGCTCTTCTAAACGCCAGAGGATACAGGGTCTAGCGTCAAAGTCACAGAGATCTACAGCACAGAAAAAGGTCCAGAGATCACTGAAGGTGGCAGCACAGGTAGATAAGGTAGTTAAAAAAAGGCCGACTGCATGCTTGCCTTCGTCGCAAGCAGCATCGAGTACAAGGATAGACAAGTTACACTGCAGCCTTTTAGAACTTTAGTTAGGCCACACTTGGAATATTGTGTACAGTTCTGGTCATTACACTACCAGAAGAATGTGATACTTTGGAGAGGGTACAGTAAAGGTTTACTAAGATGTTGTGTGGTATGGGGGATTTTAACTATGAAGAAAGGTTGGATAGACTGGGTTTGTTTTCACTGGAACGCAGGAGGTTGAGAGGCAACCTGATAGAAGTTTAAAAGATTGTGAATGGTATGGGTAGAGTGGAAAGTATGAGGCTTTTTCACAGGGTGGAGGGGTCAATTACTAGGGGACACAGGTTCAAGGTGCAAGGGGAAAATTTAAGAGAGATGTGCAAGGCTCGTTTTTCACACAAAGGGTGGTGATTGCCTGGAACGTGCTGCCAGAGGTAGTGCTGGAAGCTGACACAATAGCAGCATTCAAGAACCACCTCGATGAATACATGAATAGGAAGGGAATAGAGGGATATGGATCCTGTTAGTGAAGACATTTTTAATATTGAAGCACAAAACGTGTTGGCGCAGGCTTGGAGGGCTGAAGGGCCTGCTCCTATGCTGTATTGTTCTTTATTCTAGATCAGCCATGATCTTACTGAATGGCAGAGCAGGCACGATGGGATCAATGGCCTGCTCTTGTTCCTTATTTGAATGCAATAAAGGTACTAATATACATCCAACAAAGATACTAATTTAACCACAATTGCTTTACAGCACTACAATAGTAAGGTCTTTACCTGGTAGCCCCTGTGCATTGTGACATGGCTTTGCATTCCCCGCAGACCATGATGAGGAAACACTTGCAGATGTGGGTGCATGAAGATATCAGGCATTACCTAGCATAAAGACAGAAAGAAAAAGCCACTGTAAATTTCTTAAAGCTTTACAGGTTTAGCTAACACACAAAACATTCAGCTCAAATATTAGTAAGCATTCAGCTCAAGTACAGTATGCAGTTTCAGAACTAACTATTGGAATTTAGAGGAAGTATAAATCATTAGAATATTGTCTTGTATGACAAAATACAGATGCAAAAGACCAGAACTAGATTTTCTTCCCTCATTTCAACAATGCAGATTAAGGTGTGATAATAAAGAGTAAATTAACGAAAAGATGTAGATCAGAAACAGTTTTTTTTTTTTAAAAAGTCGGTTTAAAAATAAAGAACAAGTGTCAATAGATATAAAATTAATTGCATTTTAAAGCTAGAGGCAGGAAAACAAAAAAATCAAACATAAATAAGAGCAGTAAAATGTTGGAAATCCTCAGTAGGTCTGGCTGGATCTATGAAGAGGGAAACAGAATTAACATTATCAACCAGAAATGGTAACTGTGTTTTTTCTCCACAGATACAGCTAGACCTGCTGAGGATTTCCATATTTCTTTCTTAAAATTTATTAATCAAGATTTTGCTTTGCCACAGGAGAGGTATTGGAGGACTGGAGGACAGCTATTGTGATACCATTACTCAAGAAAGGAGCAAGAGATAAAGGAAACTATAGTCTAATCAGTCAAACCTCGGTGGTGGGGAAACTATTGAAAGCAGAATTAGTCTGCACTTGGAGAGGCAGGGATTAGGTTGCAGACATGCTTGCCGAGCCAGTGGTTTTGGTTGAAAATGTTTCGTCACCCTGCTAGGTAACATCATCCTCTGGTGAAGCGTCAGTGTTCTGTTCCACTTGTTAATTATATGCCTTGGTTTGCTGGGGGTAATGAAGAACAGTCAGCATGGTTTTGTTAAGACAAGGTCTTGTCTGACGACCTGATTGAATTTTTCAAAGATGTAACGAGGTGTGTAGATGAGGCAATGGACTTTTTGTTACATACTTGGGATTTCAGCAAGGCTTTTGATAAGGTCTCACATGGGATATTCATAGGAAATCTAAGAGCCCTTGGGATCCAAGGAAATTTGGTTCATTGGATCCAGAATAAGTTGAGTGGCGAAGAGGAGGGTGATGGTCAAAGGACGTTTTTGTGACTGGATGCCTGTGTCCATTGGGGTTCTGCAGGGATCTTGTTGTTCTTGATGTATTTAAATGATTTAGGTTTGAATGTAGGAGGGTTGATCATAAGCTTGCGGAAGCTCCAGGTACAAGCCCCACTCCAGGACTTGATGGCAAAGGAAAGTATGATTATAATGCAGCCAAACAGGTTGAGTACGACTTCCAACAAATGCTAATAGCAGCTGATAAGAATGGAAGAGACGTCCAGTCACTCAACTGCCAATGCAATGACAAACCATACAGTATCATAGAGAAGACCACGTGGTCACAATGCAGAGAATGGGAGGGGTGGAAGAATCAAGAAGGATTACAACAACACAGAGACAGACAAATTGAACCAGTCTCCCTAACCCTGCGTTTGTAATACTGCAAAATTAAAATACTTAACGACCCTTGAAACTGCCCCAATGGTTCCTAACCAGACTTTGGTCGTAACGATATCAGACACCAAATTTATAACTTAAACAAAAAGTAACATTTTATTAATAATACAACAGCAAAATTAAACAAGGTAATCTAATTAATGTCTATGATTTAAACCCAATCTTCTTCAATTCTAGCCCCATCTCACATAAAGACATACAGACACAGTTAAGGAATAAATTAAAGAAAACAAAGGAAATGTAACTGGCCAGTTCACTTAAGCAATTTTCTTTATGTGTAATAACACAGGCACAAGCACTTGTATCTTGCTTGATTTCTGAAGACACTGTGCAATGCAAACACCTTCCAGTAGGCACTGAGGAATGTTCACTAATACTTATAACTGAGATTCTATTCTCCAAACTTCCAACAAGTTAATTTTGGGAGGATAATCAGAGAGCAAACATATCTCCTTCCTTTAGTTATGGCAGCCACAATCCTTCTGACAAAAAAAAAACAACACAGTTCAGAACTGGTTCAACCTTTGGTTTCTCTTTCTTAGACTAGTTAATAATTCAAACATCTGCCATCTGTTTAAACATATTGCTTCTCAGAGTTTAAACACCTATGCAGTTCTTTGAACAAGAACTGCCTGCAATCAAATTCAAGGCTTGACCTCATGAATAAATATCAGTTTGTTTGGAGGGTCACTGAACTCTGCTTTTTCTTCACGGATACTGTCAAACCTGCTGAGTTTCTTCAGCATTTCAGATTTTGTATCAGTTTGTTTGTTCTCCTTATCAATGCAAGAAATGTCTAAACAGACATTTGAAGAATTTGCAAGACAAGACGAAATGTGGGATCAATGGTTTAAAATTGCTGAAGTTAAAGAAACATTTTGAGAGGATAACAAACATTATGATTACTGAAGAATTCAGAAATAGCATTCCTGCAAACCTAAAAAAAAATTTAGAACTGTGTGAAGTATTAAAAGTCAGAGAAGCAGCAGTTCTGGCAGATAGCTATGATATCGCGCACAGACAAGTAGAATATGGTCAGATGGGAATCTACAACAAAACCGAAGGAATTGAAAATCTGCAGGTGGCATACATAATAGCTTTAGGGAAGAAACAGAAAGATGTCAAAGTAATAAACGAGAAAGTCTACAGCCAAAAAAAGTGTTTTAAATTAAATAAGATGCTTCTATTGTAATAAAACTGGACATATCAAAGCCAATTGCTAGCAGTTAAATGAGACTGACTGCAAATGTCGGAACATCTGAGGAACCTTCATAACAGCGGCATCAGGAAACAAAATAGGTATCAAAACTAGCGCAAATACAAAGAGAAAATGTGTCATTAAACCATTCTGGAAAGGTAGAGATGACTCCAGAAACTCAAAATTTTGTCTTTGAATATTGAAAGAGAAAATCAAACCACTGGAGGTTCTGAGTATTTCATCTCAAATGGAGATTTGAGAATTCTTTATGTTGCAACTCAAAAAGGTAAACCAATAATGATACTGACAGACACTGCAGCAAGACAGTAACTGATGCTGGGTTATGAGGCTACTTGTCTAGAGGGGTTTATGAAGGAAAAAGTATTAATTGGGGGTATACATAAAGTTTACAAACCAATTCCATATACAGATATAACATTGAGGCACTCAGGTTAGATACCACAATATTTTTTCTTCCAGAAAACTACTGCAGTGACCTACAAAAGCTAATAAAAGCTCTATTTGTGCCAATAAACCAGAAAAGCATCTTTGGCTGTTCAGAATGCTGATATATGGGATTATTAACAATAGAACAATATCCTTGCAGATTCAATCCAAACAGAATTCGCACAAGTGAGGGAATAGATGGACAATGACAATGTCCAACGATGGTTCTGAAACAAGACGGGTCACAAAAATTCTGTACCGATTATCACATTGTCAATGTGGTAAGAAAAACAGACTCGTATCCTACTCCAAGATTGGAGGAGCACATTGAAAGAATTGGACAGGCACAATTCACCACCATAATTGACTTAAAAGAATTTTGTCCAGTTCTACTGACTGATACAGCCAGTGAATATCAGGTTTTATAGTAACAGATGAACTTTATCAATTTAAAATCATGCCATTTGGAATAAAAGATGAATGCAATATTCCAATTGTCCAATAAAGTCAACTGCATAGGCCACATCAATGTTTTGGTTGTATTTAGCCAAAGTTGGAAGAATGTTTACATCAATTGACTAAACTATTTGATTGGCTACAAAATAAAACTGGGTTTAAATTTGTCTAAAAGTGAATTTGCCAAAGCAAAAGTGAAAATAAGGGTTATTTGGATTTTCCCATGTCCAGGATGATATGTGAAATTTTGCAATATGTTGCCATGAGTGGACTTCATCTTTGGTTTGTTCCAAACTTCAGCATTGTGGGTTTCTCTGACAAATGTGTTTAATTAAAGCAAAAAAATTGAATGGATACAAGAAAGTCAGAGTTTAACAAAATGACACCAGATTATAGTGACCTGACAAAGGAGCAGCGCTCTGAAAGCTCGTGATTTCAAACAACCTGTTGGACCATAACCTGGTGTTGTGTGACTTCTGACTTTATCCACTCCAGTCCAACACCAGCACCTCCATAAGTTGAAAGAGTATACAATTATTGGTGGGTGTGTTGGAGAGCTTGATGCAAAGGCTACTAAGATTCCATGTTCAGAGAGGCAGTGGCATTGGCTGTCTACCTAATTAAATTAATTAATGTACAAAATACATGGAAGTTATAATGCAGGAATAATCGCTTTGGCGCAACCACCCCATATCAGCAAGTTGAAAGTCAGAAGTCACATGACACCAGATTATAGTGACCTGACAAAGGAGCAGCAGTCTGAAAGCTTGGGATTTCAAACAACCTGTTGGACCATAACCTGGTGTTGTGTGACTTCTGACTTCCAACTTAATGATGTTTTAAAGTTGTTTCCTGCTCAGAATTACCGAAGTGTACAGTGTCTCTTTTATAGTTGGTGATAGCCATCAAAACAACATTCACTAAAATATACATCTACATTTCAAAGTCTGAATAGGAATTAGCATAGTTCTCTGATGTATATCGGATTTTATTCGAAGTCATTAAGGCTCAAGTCTTTGCATCTTTCATCTAACTCTATCAGCAAAATAGCTATTCCCTTCTCCCTTATATTTCTCCAAAAAGGTATCAAAATGACTGACTACAATCATCACCTGTAGCACAGAATTCCAAATTCTCACCACAGTCTGGGTAAAGAACTTTTTTCTTAATTCCCTGCAGTAATTCCTCACTTAAAATTATGATTATGTTTCTGAAAATCTCAAATTTAAGTGAGGCGTTGCTTCCTGTAGGAATGAATGTGCAAACCAGAGTTCAGTTCCTGCTGACAGGTTTTGCTCGGGAGAGAACAACCAACAGGTTGAAACACTGCACTGAGCATGTGTAACATTGTGTATTCCTAGGTGAAATAACTTGCAAAGTAAACCGTAAAATATAAATAGTTATAAGCTAGGTACCTCTGAGCAGGAAATGACTTTAAAACATTACATTGGCGGAATGGGATACAATCATAATTCCTAGATTCATAACCAAAATAGCTTGTAAGGTGAAATAAGTGTAAAAATATCAATAAAAATGAAACTTACTTGAAGAGGTTTTAAACTCACCAGGGTCCATCTAGTGACAAACATTGGTCAATGCAGGCTGAACTACTTGCACAAACCAAGACCTACCAGTAGGCAGAGTCCAAGATTTCACAATGCAAGTTCAGAAAGACATCCAGGAGAAAATGGGCAATGGAGACTTTAAAGGTAACAGAGTGGGGGAAACACGGAGCTGAGGGAACGGGGCAATGAGGAGGGACCTAGGATGGGATAAGAACCAGAAGGTGGCCAGGGGGACTGAGTGCTGAAGCGTGGGAAATAAACTGTAAAAAGGCAGGCGATACAGGAGGTCTATCACAAACAACACTGAACTGAAACTAAATATTAAATTAAAATATTGTTGCTACTTCACTTCATTAATGATATTGAACTTTAACTGAGTCAATTTTATACAGGACCTTGCTGTTTGATGTCTTGATGACTATTCATACTGATGGTCTCTTTCCCCAAAAACTTGAAAGAGGCACTCTGTCTACTCAGTTAAAACAGGATTTGGTAGGGAAAGGAAAAAGCAGAAATTGCTGGAAAAGATCAGCAGGTCTAGCTACCTCTGTGAAGACAAAACAGAGTTAATGTTTTGGGTCTGGTGACCCTTCCTCAGAACTTGGTAGGATTTTGTAATTACTCCCTAAATGTTCTTTTAAAGAGAAAAAACTCCCAAGTCTGTTAACCATAAATAGGAAAACTTCCCACTGGGGAATATCTTTGCAAATCATCTTTGCAACTTTTACAGTGCCTCCAAATCTGCCTTTTAACATTCTGTCCAAAAGTACATGACAACTACTTTAAGTGAAGTCCATCTAAGATTCAAAGCAACTTTTACATTTTTATCTTTAAATATTAAACCCTACTGCTTGATTGCAAATTGCAAATGCAGGTCTCTTTAGAATGGGAGCAGCAGAGAAAAAAAAGACACGAGTGGTGGGAACACGCTGGAAGTTGCAGCGCTGTGAAGAGAGACCAGTAATGATTTTGGCCAATTCTTGCTCCTTTCAGCCCTTTTACCATTCAATCATGGCTCACCTGGTTGTGGCCTCAACTCCACTTTCTTCTCAGCCCCAAAATCCCTGGACTCATGCCCATAAAAGGTCTGAATTTATTCAAGTCTGAGTTGGATGACGACCCAGTCTGCAATGCTCTCCACCAACGAAGAGAATTCCACAGACTAACAATCCTGAGATTGCAGCCACATAAACATGTCCAAATGCACAAAGCATTCAGAATAAGATAGAGGACTTGAAATTGCAAAATTGAGGCAAATACCTGATCTAGTGTCATTACGGAGACATAGTTACAAGACAACCAGATCTGGGAACTTAAAACTCAGGAATATTTGACCTTTCAGAAAGACAGGAGGGATGGAAAAGGTGGTGGAATAACACTGTTAAGAAGAGATGAAACAAAGGCAGTTATGAGAGATGATCTAGGCTCGCATGATGTACAGTTAATTTTGGTTGAGGTAAGGGTTAAAAAAAGACACTGGTAGGAGTAGTGTACAGACTCCCGAACAGTAGTCACACTGTGGTAAAAACAGTATAAATCAACAAATAATTGCAGATGTAAAAACAATACAGCAGTAATTATGGGTGACTTTAATCTTCATATTGATTGCATTAATCAAATTGAAAAGATGAATTATAACAACAAATTCATACAGCGCATTAAGAAATAGCTTTCCTAGAAAAATATGTCATGAGCAAACCGGGGACCATCTGGTAATGGGTAATAAGGCAGTTTTACTAAATGACTTCAGGAGTAAAAGATTCCCTAAAAACTCATGATCATAACATGATAGAATTTAACATTCGGTTTAAGAGTGAGAAGCCTGGATCACAAACAACCGACATCAAACAGGGCTTGGAGCCATTCTCAAGGCTGTTCCTTTGGTCACTTGCAAGTATTTGCTTGTTCACTACTTAAGTATTGCTATGCTACAAGTTGCTTCTCTTTGTCTACAGTGATGGTGGAAATCCTGTCACAATTCCCTACTTAGGATCTTCCTGGTTAGTGAGTTGGCCTGACTCCTGATGATACACGAACCTATGCATCTTTCAAAGAGCAGATCCAAGTCATATGTAAAACGTTCCAAAACAAAATTTATGAAAAAAATCTGCACAAAACTTTAGAAGAAACAGCAGGCAGAATAAAGAGAGTTGCTGGTAAAATTAATAGTGGGTATGGATGAATATAATTAAATCAAATTATTTTAAAAGTATAATTTAGTTAAATATAAAAATGCATTCGTTCCATCTTACCACAGGAATGGAGGGTGTCGCCATGGAAATCAGATGCAGTCTGGGTGGCACCAACTGGTAGCGGTGCAGGTGGACATGTCCAGAATGGTATTGTGGGAAGTTGGATGTCACCCTTTCTTCCCTGTGAATCCACAAAGATTAATAATTACATCAAAAGATCCAGTTCTCATCACAGGACTGTTCTTAGGGAGAATTGTGAGTAAATGAGTTTCCACAGAAATTACCAATTGCCATCCAGCCAGCATTGATTGAGGAACTGTCAAAAACTCGAACAAACATTCATCAGTTAAAGATTTGATGTGCTGAAATATCCTCTGGCTCTAGGAGCAAGGTCAAAATTCAGAAAGGGTGATAGTCTCATCTGAGGGAGGATTGCAACATGCAACATTGGGGCAGGGGTGCTGAGATACTTGTCTTGCAATTAGGGGCCCTCATAGCTTGGAGCCAGCAAGATGCAAATCACAAAAGAAAAGAGCTAAAAGCAAGCCAAGCCAGAGATATTATTCAGTAATCAATGTGGAGCTTTATTAATGTAGTCATGAATAGTACAATGATCAGAGATCAAATGTCACACTTTATATCCATTGCTTGAATAAAGCAAATTAGACCATATGACAACAACATTGGCAAGATGGCGACAGAGTAAGACGCTCCTGCCAGAGCTCCTCTGCTTCGCTTGTTCTTTTTCTCTTTCTTTTCTCTCAATTTTTTCTCTCCCCTTAGCTCCAAAGGTGAATCCTAGAACAGCTGGCAGGGGAGGCAGGCCTGGAACTTACCTTGGAGGAGTTGAGTGTTGGTACGGAATGGACTGAAGGCTTAGAGTGGAGCGGGGACAGCTGTTGAATTAGGGTCTGGCACAGGTGGTCAGACCACATGCAGAGGCCCTGTGCAGAGATGCTACAATGTAATGTTTATGAATTTTTTTTTAGTTGCTATAAAGTCAATCCTTTAACGATGTTTTATTTCTAACTTATATCTTAAACTCTGTAAAGTAAAGCAACTACTTTTTATTCCTCTTTTATATCCAAGATCTGTACCTATATACTTGTATCTAAGATGGCGCCATAAGAGGCAGACATTGTAAAAGCTTTTCACTGTACTTCTACAATGGAGTACACGTGACAATAAAGGATATTCTATTCTATTATAAGATATAGGAGAAGGCCATTCAGCCCATTGTGTCCACTCCGCCATTCAATGAGATCATGGCTGATCTGATAATTCTCAAAGCAATTTTCCTTCCTTTCCCCTTGATTCCCTTACTGATTAAAAAGATGCCTCTGACAGCCTGGATTATACTTAACGAACCAGCTTCTACTGGCCTCTGCAGTAAAGAATTCCATATAATTATCACCTTCAGAGAAGAAATTCTTCCCTATCTCATTCTTAAATGTGTAATGGGTTGAAGTGTTCTGAGAATAGGCAGAGAGGTGGAGCTGATGCTGAGATGAGACCAGCCAGGATCGCATCAAATAGTGGAGCAGGCTCAAGGCCTACTTCTGCTCCTAATTCTTAAGGTCTTACACTGAGATTCTGCCCTTTGGTCCTAGAGTCTCCCATAAGGGGAAAACAACCATTCTGCACCTACCCTGTTAAGTTCCCAAAGTATCTTGCATGTCTCAACAAAGTCACCTCTTATTCTTC